TCCAGAGGAACCCTGGCCTCGGAGTTCCTGCCTCTCGGCTGTGCTGGCATCCACCCCTGGGCACTGGATTGTGCCCCTCCACTCCCCGTTCCCAGATGCCTTGCCGTCCCTCAAAATCTCCTTGCAAATGTCCTGTGGAGTGACCAAATTATTTGCCACTTGTCTCTCTTTTCTTCAGATCATCAGAATTCTACCATTCTAGAGCAGGAAGGAGCTGGGGAAGCAGCAGGCCCTCCCCAGCCCGGGGCAGAACGGGGCTCTCACGCTGCTCTAATGAGTGGGAGGTGCTAATAAATGGGGTGAGTTTTTGCTTGATTCACAGTGTAGGGCTGAGAGCTTCTACCTCCTCCCTTCTGGGTCTTACAGCTGGTCGAAGAATTAAGCTGCCATAAGGTGAACAGGAGAAAAATTTAATTTTGTGTTTACAGGAGCCCCAAAGATCGGAGGCTCAAAAGTGACCAAAGCAGGCTGTTTTTTAATGCCTTTGAGTTAAAGAAATAGTGAATTGGTGAGGAATTGGCAAGACCAGGTTTTTGGGCTTGGGGGGTCGACTGCTGAACAGGGTTCTACAGCCACCTTGGCCCTAAACTGCCCCAGGCGGGCGACGAGGCTGCTCTCTTCCTCCTGGTGCATCGAGGGGGACTGACGTCCTGTGTTCAGGGGGACAGAGGAGGGTCTGAGCGTCCCTCCGGTGCTGGCCGTTTCTTAAGTAACTTTAATCCAAAGTAATCAAGAGGCGAAAATGGCATATTTGGGGGTGGCCTACGCTAACTCTGCTTCAGGGACTGGAAATGAGACTGGAAATGAGAAGCTGGGAGTTGCGTAGGGGTCGGCCGAGGTGTCGAGTACGGAGGAGCGGCCCCAAGGGGCCTGGACGCCTCCCAAGACCTGTGTGTGCAAGGCGGGCTATCGGCCCGCTCCAGGTGCTGGGATAGCGTGTGCAAGCAGGTGGTCCCTGCGTCTCCTTGCTCCCTTGGGCACAGGCGCGTGTTCTCACACCGTGAAAACAACACCTGCTCAGCTCCTCCCACCCAGAAATCCCGTGTGCCCTTGCACGGGGCCCAATCCCCAGACCCACGTACATCAGCCTGATTCCAGCACAAAGCAAGTCTCTGTCTCTTTGAGGAGGGCTGGTGTCTCTTCGTCACGAGGAACAATATTCAGATCATTCTTCATTCTTGAGGTTTTAAAAATGTTATGTTTGCTCATGTTCTTCTAGGTAACGTCTGTGTCTGTCAGTGTGGCCTCTGGGCTTCATTGTAAAGGTCAGTTTGTCTTTGCAAAGTATCTTGCCTTGCTTTCTTTCTCTAGTTGAGGGAGATGCGTATGTTAATGTCACTGGTCAGTCATTAACGTGCTTTTTGTTCTGGACGCAGACAACCCTCCTCCACATGCTCGGGGTGGGTGGGGAAGGAGTCGCCACCAAGGCTTCTGGCTGACACTGGTCCTACGTGAGGCTCGCTTCAGCTCCTGTGCATGGACCACATCCCCACGCAGGCAACATGGCCTTGGGACAGCGGCTGCCTTCCCCGAAAGCTTTGATCTGTCCCGTGCGCCGCTTTAAATCGGCTGAGCGGGCATCGCTAGTCCCCCCCCAGCCTCGCCGCAAATCCTGACAACATAAAAATAATAACACAACTCATAACAGCCGGAGAGAGGCATCCTGAGGTCAGAAGTGCTTTAAGAGCGTTGATTTACATAACTTTTATAGCAGCGGGTGAGTGTCAGAGCCGAAGTTCAGAGTTAATAGCTCAGATAACAGAGCTAAACGCACAGACCAGCAGGGAAAGAAAAGCAATACTGTAAGCAATCAGCCGGGTGTGACTGACAAGCCGGGGGGAGGAAGTACGCCAACGTCACCCCATTCCCAGGGTCGAGTACGTGGGTGCTGTAGGAGGAATTAGGGACTGAGTACCTTGTGGAAATCATGACCGTCAGAGGCGAGGACGTCGTGACACTCGGGCATGGGGAGAAGGGTCACAAACAGATGCAGAGACTTGTGCAGGGCCAGACCTGTGGCCGAGTGAATGCCTACCCAGGGGTGCTACCGAGGAGAGCCCGGCACGGGGCGGGATGCGGGCCCAGCTCGTGCACACTCAGGCAAGGACGAGCGCGTCTCCACGGAGGCCTCAGCGACCCTGTGCTCTCCGACGCTCCCCAGAAAGACACCCAAGAAGCCGGCAGAGCTGACCTGGCGGGCTGGGGCCTGGGCAGGAAGAGGTGTCTTTAAGCTCATTCCTTACACTCCCGTGTTATTTGTGAGCCGAGTGAGTGTAATACAATTCAAGAGTAATGACGAAACATTGCAATAGAACATTAATGCCTTCATTAAGGGGGAAAAAAAAAAGGCAGCTTAAGGCGAGGAATTTTCCAAGATGAATGCAATTGTGAATTCCGGGACAGGAAACCCCATTCCGGCCAGAAGGCTGATGGCCAGGGACACAGTCCGGGCCCCGGAATACAGGCCGCTGTCAGGCAACACGCACAGAAGGCCTGAACTCAGCGTCGGCTCTGTGCCCGGCTCAGTGTGGAGCGCACAGCACACAGCAAAATGGACAGGTGTGGCGGGGCCGGGGTGTCCCTCCCACGTCTTGGTCCATCCCCAGCTCTGATGGGACCGAGCGGGAGTCTGACCCATGTCTGTCTGGGTCCCGTCCCTGGCTGCTCTCGCACTCACTGCCCTTCCCCAGAGCTGCCAGACCCAGCAGGTGCGTGGGTGAGGCCCAGAGGTCTGGGGATGAAACTCCCTGGAGGCCACGTGACCAAGGACATCCAGAGCGGCAGGCAGAGGAGCTGGTGGGGATGCCGAGTCCTGCAGCCACAGAGGGTGGAGAACTGCCTACAGTCCTTCCTTTGTGATCACTTTACAACCTGAAGTGAGTGTGCGTGATGCTCAGCTGGTACTGGGGCCCAGCACCCCTTCCCTCCCCTCCCCTCCACTCGTGGTCAGCGCCCTCCCTGCGGGCCAATCCATGCCACACGGCCCCCTCAGGCGGCCTAACATGCAGAGACCCCGGGGGGCACAGCAGAGAACTCCCAGAGCCTGAATCGCACTCCGGGCAGGTGTCCTTTCAGAGCATGCGCTGGTCGCACCCCACATGTTGTCATCCCTCAGACATACTCTGGTGTGCTGAGATGCATGGTCTCCAGCAGCCAGGACTCGGCAAGGGGACTCTCCCTTTGCTGGAGGATGGGGGCAGATGTTTTCTCTTCACAGGAACAGTATGACTCAGTAGAAAGTGGGACTGGCTCAGGGCTCCCAGCACAGCTCTGCTGGTGACTTCTTGTGTGACCTCAGGCAGACCACTTACCCTCTCTTTGCTTTGTGGCCATGTGAGGATTCGTAGGTTTCCTGTCCTGGCTGTTGTGAGGGCTCAGGGAGCCAGGAGATCAGCAGGAGAGCCCCTTGTGGTGGCTACAGTGACCACGGTGTCCTCACCCTCAGGAGGCGAGGTGTCCAGGACTCTCCAAAAGCTTGGGAGCAGCATCCCAAGGCACCAGAATCCCAGACGCCCCCACCTACAATGGGGCAAGGGAAAGAAAGGTGGGAGGAGGGTACAGAGCTCAGCTTGGCTTCTCTGGGCAGTAGGTCATCAGTCCCTCAATGGTAAAAGACAGTAGCCTAGCAGGACACCCTGGCCAGAGGCTAGAGGGCAGCCGGTCATCCTCAGGAAGAGAAGGAACCACAGGGTCCTGCAAACAGCAGGCCTGTGAGTGGCCGTCGTTGTGGACCAGGCAGGGTGTGCCCGACCCCTGGTCTGCATGGCAATAGTGGTGACCTACAGTGGTCAGCAACTTGATGCTGAGTGCATGGAACGATCCCCCCCAGACACAGCCAGCCAGGTGGGGCCCCTCCTGTTGTTGGATGGATGACGAGCTGGAAGCTGGGAAGACACTCATAGGCTCGGGCCCCAACAGAGCCAAAGAAGGTGCAAGAAGGACAGCAAAGGAGTGGGGGCATCTCACCCGGAGAGGCGGGCGGGCAGCGTGGAGTTCCTGGGGCTTGGTCACTGGGCGACCATCCCACCCCCAGGAAGCCAGCAGAGCCCGAGCTGGTGGAGGACAGAGTCCAGCTCTGCTAGCCGCGTCGCCTGACCCAGGAGATCCTTGTGTCACCAGAGCAGGCTCGCTGTAATCCGTGTTGGTGGAGGCCACCGTGGCCCACCAGCTCTGGTGTTAATCAGGGCAGAGCACAGCTGTCGGCACCAGCGGGGAGGCCACAGGTGCTGTATCCCAGGCTGGGGCTGACAGTCTGCGCTGCTTCTTCAGACGTGGGCAGAGGGGGTCTCGGTACAGCCTGTCTGGGTGGCTCGGTCGTTAATAACATCTGATCACCCATAATCTCTTGATAATCAAGGAACTTTAGGAGCCCTTCAGAGCCACAGAAGCCCCCCAGAACAGATGACATGTACCTCACTGCCTCCTCAGCAGGAGGGGGATTACATGGTGAGGAGTCCCCCAAGTCGGGGGCCATGTTGGGGTTTCCTGGGGTGTGGGCACAGAGGAGGGGCTCACATCAGGAAACAGAGCTCCCAAAGTTGGGATCTGTAGGCAGATAGGGAGGATGACCAAGAGGAAGGACATGTAACCATAGGAGAAGGGCGCCCTTGGAGGACCGTTCCAGAAGGAGGAACTGTCCTTGGCCCTGTGAGGGCAAGGGCAGGCGGCGGGAGGAGCGAGGAAGGACAGAAAAAGCGGGAGCACTGGGCCTGCCCCTCAGGAGCACCAGCTGGTTCCCGCCACGTCCTCTGGGCCCCAGCAGCCGTGGGGAAGATGAAACTGTTGCCACATCTTGGGGGCAGGAAGGATGAAGGGGAATGAGGGTCATGGGGGCCCAGCGTTCCAAGGCTCCATCTGTCACTGCGACTTTTCCCCTTCTCAGATGCCGGTGGAGGAGGAAGGATGTCGGGGAAACAAAGCAGAGTGGGGGGTGGCAGGAATGTGGGGGTCTGTAGGGGGGTTGACGTGACTGACACATGGCCCTCCTGCCCCACCCACAGGGTACCAGATCGCCTACCGCCTGGCCAGCAGTAGCCCCAACACGTTCACCACGGTGGAGGTGGGTGCCACCGTGAGACAGTTCACGGCCACCGAGCTGGCCCCGGAGTCTGCGTACATCTTCAGGCTGTCAGCCAAGACGAGGCAAGGCTGGGGGGAGCCGCTGGAGGCCACCGTCATCACCACTGAGAAGAGAGGTAAGACCCCTCTCTCGTGGGGCTCCAGGGAGGAGAGCTGGGCCCAAGCGGGAGTCATGATCTTGCTGGGCCACGGCTTCCCGGGGCAGGCCCTGCACCGTAGCATGTCTACACAGCCTGACATTTACCGGACAGGCAGGAACGTCCCTCTCTGCTCTCAGAGAGGTTGTGTAACTGGCCCAGAGCAGGTCTGAGTCACCACATTTGAGGGCAGCTCCCCAAAGCCAGGCACCAGGTCTCTGATGTTCCAATCCACGTGCCTCACTGAGCAGGTGCTCAAAAAACACGTCTCCTACCGAGTGATCCTGCGGAGATCTGTCTTCACGGACACCGCTTCTGTTCCAGGCTCTGGCGAGGTGTTTGTTGTACATTGTCTTGGTTTATCCTCACCAGAGCCTGGTGAAGGAAGTGCTGTGAGCCCCCGTTCTGCAGAAAAAGTGGGGCCCAGACAGAGTCAGCTATTGGCCAGGGACACAGCTGTGGGACAGTGATGTGAACACCCTCCCCAGGCCCCAGGCCGCCTCTTCCCACAGCAGTCTGCTGTGGCTTCCCAATGCCCTCCTGCCTCGCTCTAGGATCTGCCTCAGCAGGCTCCCTCCCCAGGGCCACCCCAACTCTAGTCCCAGACGTCTCAGGGAAGAGGACGACAGGAAGGCACTTGCTCGGAGAAATGACCTGTCCTACCTCCCATCTGGGAGTCCCCAAGCACCAGGCTCTGGAGCTATGTGACTTCAGGCAAGGCCCTTCCCCTGTCTGTGCCCTGGCACCCACCCAGTGGCCTCTTGGGAAGTACGAGGGCCAGCACTGTCCGCAGGCCTCCGGGGGCAGAGCTGGTGCAGCGCCCACGCTCAGAGGGTGAGCCCGTGTCCCCGTGGCTGGTGAGATCGCTCTAGGACACGATCTAGAGCAGACAGTCTAAGGGAGGCATGAGTTGAATTGAAGTGCTTGAGAAACAATCCAGAGGGCCAATCTGAAACCTACGAAAGGTAGAAGGCGAAGGAGGTTGTCGGGCGTTGAGCCCTCACCATGTTCTGGCCATGTTCTGGCCACACTCCAGGCAAAGCAGCCCACTTCTCTCTCTAATTCCCACACAAGCAGGCCAAGCAGGTGGGGAAGCTGATGCCCCACAAGGTGGAAGGGCCCACCAAGGTCCAGCTGCTGCTCGGTGGCTGCCCCGGCTAGAATGCCCGGCTGACCCTTCCAGTGGCCAATGGTGGGACACTGGCATCACCTGTCTGTGGCTTTGGATCTTCCAGAGGCTCCACCTTCCAGGGGAAGACCAAACCCTTCAGCCCACTGTGAGTCCCCTGACCCCAACCACTGAGCCTCAGTCCCCCAAGGATGATGACAATTGCACAGCCCCTCTGATGACAATGGTTACCTCTACTGTTAACTGGAGGACGGCAGCCTGGGAGTCACCGGAGATGCCAGAGCGTGAAGCCGATGGAGAGACAGCGTGCACACTCGGGGCCCTGGCTAGCAGCACAGACACTGGTCCCGGCACAGGGTGGCAGCTGGGGATGGGAGCTGGCCAGACAGAGGACAGGCTGCAGGAGAACCCCCTCCTGCCCAGGTCGTCAGGCTCCTCCTTGTCCGGGTCATGCTCGGGGCCCTGAGTGCCTCTCCCAAAGGCTCCTGCCTTCTTCCTCAGAGTGGATGCAGCCCCGGAAGGGAATCCGGCACTTTCTAAGGCACAGGGAAAGACACAAGTTTGCTAATAGTTTGATGTGACTGATGAATCCAAATGGAAGCATAAACAGGTGCGCCTTTTAGGAGGCATCCCCGGTCCTCGGCGGGTCTGCTACTGATGGGGTTGGGGGGACGCACACCCACACCCCAGGCTGTACCCCGACCTGTGCCCCGATCACCCGCACCAGCTGCCTGGGGCCCATAGGGCTGAGGGGCTTTCTGCCAGGGCCCACTGACCACCCCCAGCAGAGCTTTGCCCGTTGCCAGATGCCCAGGACTGATGAGGGGACGCAGGCCTGTTGCTCCGGGCGAGAAGACCAGGGCAGCACAAGAGTGTGCTCCCAGAAGAGCACAGACCACATCAGGGGGAAGGGCTCCCCCCACCGTCACCACAGGGCCAGCCAGCTGTCGCTGCTTTATTACCCACAACACATTCTCAACAGGATCGATAATCTTCATGATAAACAATTAAACAATTATTCCTCCCTCTGTGGACTTTCTCCGCTACAATCGATGAGGTGAGGAGACGCATGATGGAAACGATCCAAGCTCAGGAGCCAGGTCCCAGCCCTGTGCCCTGCACCCCCAGTCACCAGCGCTTTGGGCACAGAGCAGCAGTGACAGCCCCCGGGGGAGCTGAGTGGGACTCTGTCTGTGTTTCAGCCTCATAGTGGCTTCCAGGGAAAGGACATCAACAGGACAGATGCCCTGATCCCAAGACTGGAGGGAGAGGGTGTCTCTCAAGAGACTCCCCTGGAGACGTCTGGTCGTTGGGGAGCACGTGTGGGCTCACCCTCCCATCTGTCTGTCTGTCTGCTGTCTGAGAGAGAGCAGCGCTCCGGGAGCAAGCCAGAGTCTCCAATCAGATCCCGCTGGGGCGGGTCCAAGTTGGCCGTGGACCCGGAGTCCACTCCCTCTCCTCGGCCCTCTCTGCCCTTGCTCGCAGGGGGCCTTCTGGGAGCAGCAGCCTCTCACGTGTCCCTGCTCTGTTCTCTCTCGGTTGCAGAGCGGCCGGCGCCCCCTAGAGAGCTCCTGGTGCCACAGGCGGAAGTGACCGCGCGCAGCCTGCGGCTCCAGTGGGTCCCGGGCAGTGACGGGGCCTCCCCCATCCGCTACTTCACCGTGCAGGTGCGAGAGCTGCCCAGGGGCGAGTGGCAGACCTACTCCTCGTCCGTCAGCCATGAGGCCACAGCCTGTGCTGTCGAAAGGTACCCAGGGGCAGGCGGGCCCTCCGTGGGGAGTAGAGCAGGGAACCTGGGGGCCAGAGACACACCCGGATAGCTCCCCTCTCTTCTCTAGCTCCCTGTACCAGGGACCAGGACTCCCCCTCCTGGAGCCCCTCCAGCCTCTGCCCCGGGTCCATCCTTCCAGGTCCAGCCCTGTGCAGGTGGCAGGCCCGCCCCAAGCCCCAGGGAGAAAAGAGATACAGATCACGGGGCCAGGGAGCCTGGAAGTGTGGGCTCCAGCCCCCGAGCCCCTGAGAAGCAGAAGTGGGGGGGTGTGGAAGGGGTGTCATGGGCTGAGACTCGCACCTTCTCTTTGTGCTCTCTCTCCTAGTTGGCAAGGCCGGTGGCTCCCATGGCTGCTGTCATCCATTAGTGATGGCTCCTCAGGGATATGGGAGGGGTGTCCCCACTGTACCCTGAGAACCCAGCATTTATCCAGTTCCTGAGGGATCCACCAGGCAAAGGCGGAGGGAGCGGTACTGACCACTGCAGCTCACTCTTGGCACCTAAGGCCTCATTTGGGCCCCTTCCCATGTTTCCACACCCCTCTACAGTAAGAGATGAGGGTCCCCCCTCTCTGGGGTGAGGGACCAGGGCTACATAACCGTCTAGGCAAGGGTTCTCAGCAGTGACCTTAGACCTTGCATCCTGACCTGGGAGGTCTGGGCTGCACAGGCTCACACCACCCTGCAGAAGACCCCTGGGTCTCTCCGGTGAGCAGGCCCGTGCAAGGAGCCGGCCGGCATTTTCCCTATCCTTCTCTGGCCCTGACAGTGGTCACTTTCCATGAAGCTCACATCAGGCTATGCGGGGACCACAAAGGAGTGTGGCCCGCAGGCTCCAAGGATTCCAGTACCCCAGCCAGCCCTGCTCACAGTGACGGGGGAGGAGGCCTAGACCCCATTTCCCAGGCTCACCAATGTTCCTCTCACCTTTCAGACAGAACACCACATACTTGTTGCCCCCTGTTCTGGGCCCTGTGCTGGGAAATCACACCCACATTTCTCATTGAACCCACCTGATGGTCCAGTGGGGGGCCACCCTGCCATTCCTCTCAGCTCTGGGAGCCCGAGTTCTGCCTCCGGAATGGACGGCAGTGACCAGGCTGCCATCTCAGAAGGTCATACAAAGCAGTCCCGCTCTGTCCCCCAGCTTTCTGCCAGCGCCCCTCGTACTCTTTGAACAGCAGCTACACCACCCGAGAGGCCCTTCTCTTGGCCCCTCGGAGATCTCCGCTGGCTGCCCCCCGCCCGCGTCCAGAGCCCAGAAAACCCACCCCCGGCACAACCCCAAACCTCAGGAGGCATGGCCCAGCGTGCCCAGGTGGCTTCATGAACCACACTCGGCCGCACTCTCCTCTGAAAGAGAGGAGAAAACTAAACTCCAGTGGCCTCATCTGTCCCGGGGCCTCATGAGATCAGACGAGTGTGTGCAGGGGACTTCCCATTGGAAGTTTGCCGAGTGACAGTCCGATCTGGTGTGGGACATGCTGTGGTCAGTCTCCTCCAGGTCCCTGCGCCCATCAGCAGACACACACCGAGGGCCAGGTTCCCAGGAAAGTCACCTGCTGGGCTTCCTACTCTGAGGCGAGGGTTTGCCCTGCGTGCCCCCCAAGACAGCTCGGGTCCTGGAATGCAGGGGGGGGGAGGCCAGAAATGGGCCTCATGCTGGGAACTCAGCTTCCTGCTCTCTACACACCCTCGCCTTGACCTGAGACAGGGGTGGACTCTTCCAGCCATCTGGCATGCGTACCTCACCCCTGCTGTGTGCCCCCCCACCCCGGCGGGCGGGGTGGGAACAGAGGAGCTGCCACTGGCCTCATATTCCAAACGCGCTGGAAAACGGTGAGGTGCTAAACGCAAACGGATCAATGATGCGTCTGACACGTGTCCTAAATGTAACGCGCTGAGTGAGCATAAACGCTGAATTCAAGGACGGGGGTAGTTTCCCACACGCCAGCACATGCCAGACGCCGTGCTGATTGTTACCTGCATCCTCTCATTCACCCTTCCTGAATCCTACCCCCCTCATTCACCCCTCCTGAATCCTACCCCCCTCATTCACCCCTCCTGAATCCTACCCCCGTTCCTCCCTCCCTTCCTTCCTGCCTTCCTTCCCCTTTCCTCTCTTCCCCCTCCCTTCCTTCTTCCCTCCCTCACTTCCTTTCCCCTTCCTTCTTCCTTCCTCCCTCCCTTCCTCCCTACCTTCTTCCTTTCCTCCTTTCTTCCCTCCCTCTCTCTCTCCCTCCCTTCCTTCCTTCCCTTCCTTCCTCCCTTCACAGATACTCACTGAGCACCTCCTGGGTACTAGGCCTTGTTCTTTGTGCTCGGGGCATAGCAGTGAAAGAGGCCACCTCGGTCTGTGTCCCTGTGGGGAAGGCAGACTGTTGTCAAGGAAGCAAACAGTTCCTTACAAATCATGGTGGGGCTGATGAGGGGATGGACAGGCCTAGAGGACAGCGCTCAAGGCACGGGCTCTCCCTGAAGCCATGTGAGCTGTGGCCAGAGGATCCTGATGGGAAGAACAGCCAGGATTCAGTGAGTGCACTGCGTGTGTCAGTCTCTTCTAAGCGCCTCTCAACGCCATCCACACAACCATCTCACGACCCCGTGCTCCAGTCGGCCCAGGTGAGGCGCCTGTGGCTCATCGACCTGCCCGAGGTGATGTGGGGGTCAGTGTGGGGGCAGTTTGGCTCCAGAGTGCTCACTCCTGGCAACTGCCTTGGGCTGCCTTTTAATCTGAGGAGAAGCTAATGCAAATATGGGGCCTCAGGTGGTTGAGGCAGAAACCAAAGGAGAAAACCATGCGGTTGTCACAAGAATTAGATAAAATAGCTCGTAGGAAGCTAGGAACAGATGGGAAGTTCTTTGTTTTAACTTGATAAAGGATAGCTCCCCCAGAAGCTTCGAGCAAAGATCATTGTTAAGGGTGGAACTTTGGAAGCGCCCCCAGGACAGCCAGGGCCAAGGCAAGGTCGCCTGGCAGGGCTTCCCCAGCTGGAACCGGGGCACAGAGAGGCCAGGAGACAGGCCTGCAGTGGCACGGAGAGCTGGCGTGGTGGAGGGCTGAAGGGAAGAGCCGAGAGAGAACCTTCGGGGGCCGACAGAGGACTAGTGCAATCCCGTCTTGGGCGGGAGGGCATATGAGAACACAGAGGACGATTCTTCCAATCCTGTGTCCACAGATGGTCATCGGTCTTTGAAAACGCAGAATTCTTCCTCTAGGCCAAGAATTCCCCAGACCCCACTTGCAAACCTGTTGGGAGTGGGGCTGTTATTGGCTAACTCAGGGGGCATGGGAGCCCCCTGGCCTCCTAGAGGACCCCTCAGAGCTTCCGGTGTTCCACAGTGCTCGGTTTGAAACCCATGAGTCTCCAGGTTGGCCTGGAGGCAGTGCGGGTCTGCCCACCGGTAGCTGGGGGAGCAGGCAGAGTCCAGAGCCGCCCGGCCCTCCTGGTCTGGGAGATGGACACGGGCAGAGCTTTGCCCCAAACAGAGCAGCGGTCCACGGGGCAGGGGCGGCTGTTCTCCTCATCGGCTCCTTCGGAAGTCATGGCAAGGACAGCCAGAGGTGCCGGCCAGCCAGGGACCCAAGGAAGACCGCAGCTCATCTGCTTAGAAGACTGTCCGGTGTCTGTGTGGTACAGAGCTCAGCTCAGACCATCCACAGGGACCGGGTCGATGGAGGGAGGCAGGCAGGCCTGCGCGGTGGCCGCGAGCCGTGCGCCCGGACTGTTAGGGCCCCTCAAATCCCTTTCAGCAGGCAGTTGGGGGCGTTTCCCCTGTTTCCAATGGACAGTTGACCACCTCGGTCTTAGAGGCGGCCTCAAGACAGATCCTCCTCCAGTGGTGGCCAAGCCAGGGACAAGGGACTTTAATGGGGCCGGGCCTCGGTTTTCTCATCCCTGCAATGGGAATCACACTGCCCGGCCGGGCCCTCTGCGGGGACAAGGGGGCAGGCGGGCCTCCACGAAGGTGCGCTTGCGGGCGGGCGAGGAAGTGGCGAGGCGGACCCTGGTTTCACGCTCTGAAGCGTGTGAGGGCTGCGGTAATTAGCTCCTCCTGAGAAATTCTCGAGTCCCTCAGAGAGCGGTGATTTGCTTTGCAGGAGAGGCTCTAATTACAGGAAGAGCCCGGCGTAAAACAGCCACCCTCGGGCCGGGACATTTAGCTGCTGGGGGCAGGTGGGGAGGATAGTGCCAGCTGCCTGAGGGCCCCTCCCAGGCAGGAGCAGGACGGATTCCTGGTCCCCGAGCGAGGGCCTCTTCCTCCGGGCTGCCCGCTTCCTATGGCCCGAGCGTGGGGCAGGACAGGGAAGGGCTCAGGCCCTTACAGCTCATCTGTGTTTCAGGCTGAGACCTTTCACTTCCTACAAGCTGCGCCTGAAAGCGACCAATGACATCGGCGACAGTGACTTCAGTGCGGAGACGGACGCGGTGACCACGTTGCAGGACGGTGAGCCAGCTGGGACCCAGGCGGGGGTGTAGACACGGGCCCCTGGCCGGCTGCCGCCTTTGGACCCCGAGACACGGGCTCCCAGGGAGAGAGGCCCTGCTTTCATCCCGAGCCAGGAAGGAGTCGCCCAGGGGAGGGAGGGCGAGCAGGAGGGTTCAATTAGCAGCAGACCGCTCGGAGCTCCGTGCAGCCTGTGGTCCTGAAGCCAACTTCAAGGACTGGCGAGTGGAACGGAGGTTCCTTTGATTGGCTTCCAAACCCCTACAATCTATTAGCATTCTAGAAATTGAATAATTTATAGGGTCATTAAAAATGAATATGGAAGGGTAGCTGCGTTTTGAGCGGTGTCCCCATTTTTCTCATTCACGAACCGCTCCACAGTTTTGCCCTTTGACGAAAGCCCAGGGAAGTGAAGGAGCTGAGATTCCCCCGAGAGCTCCAGGTGGTTCTTACCCGCCCTCCTCCGCCTCAGAGGATCAGGCCCGAAGATCCTTGTGAGTTCGGGGGCCAATCCTGCCAGGCCCGCTGGCAGGCCAACTTCTAGGGCAGGAGGGTCGCTCTTGCCTCGAAGATGCGGGGGTTTGGATCTCGGGCTGCAGGCCTGAGCCTTTAGCTACCCCAACGGCATTGGAGACTGACTCACCACGTTGCCATGTTTCTCCTTTCTAAGCCAGGAGCCTGCCTTCACCAACATGAGGCCTCAGGCAAGCTGGGGACCAGCAGGAGGGGTTCAGGGGGACCCTTCCAGCTTCTGGGCCTTGAGATGCAGAGATCATGCACACCCAGGGTTCCCACTGCCGCTGGGACAGGCCCTGCAAGAAACCCTGTGGTTGTCTTTGTGGCTCGTCTTCTCGTCTTACATTTAACACAGCTGGGGTTCTATTTGGGAGAAGCACTGATGCTTCAAAGAAATCAGGAAATGCACCAAGCTGATTTTGTTGGCGAGTCTTTGAGGAAATCGCAGGCCAGTGAGGAAGATATCACAGACTCCCTTTGCTCTTACACAGCTCGGGTTCCTGTTGAACTGGCCTGTTGGGGAAAAAAAAGGCATTTGAGGGCCTCTCCAGGTTCCCAAAGGCCTGTCTGCATCCTTTGTTACTGAAATCCTGTCTTTGGCCACACCAACCCTGTCCTCTTCCTCTTCCGAGATCTGCAGTCCTCTTGTGTCGACTGTATTGTGTTTGGGCTGGATTGTCTCCTAACAACAGATCTGCTGGGACGGACAGACTCCGGGGCTGGGGGGGCCCTGGGCTGGGTGTGTGGATGGCTCACTGATAAACATTTCCTCGTTGTGGTGGCTGAGGTGTGAGAACCCCTCAATCCAGCGTGAAATCCCGGAAAGCTGTGTAAGGGTCCAGCGTGGACCTCAGGCCAGCAGGAGGCCAGAGAGCACAGGGTAGGGGGCTCCCCAGAAGGCAGGGGGGCTGTAGGTGAGGCTGATGCCAGCACATCCCAGGTGCTGGGTGCCCCAGAAGGTGTGGAGGAGACTCAGAGCCGGTGACCGAGAGGCTGAGTCTCGGACGGTCAGGTGGGTGCGGGGTGGGGACAACAGCCTCAGTTGTTCCACTCAGTGACTCTTGGTAAGCATCTGATACGCGGTCTCGGGACCTTAGAGTGAGCAGCAGTGAAAAAGCCAACCTAGCATGCCGGCCGGGACCGGACAGGTTCAGTGGGAGTGGAGGTAGGGAAGGCGTGTCTGAGGAGGGGCGCAGGACATTCAAATGGGGCGGGACTGTAGTTTCCAGCATGGAGGGCACAGCCATGGCCACGGGCAGAGCCAAACTGACCGTATCCCTCCAGAGAGCAGAGCCAAGCTGTCACCGCCGCTGCCCCGAAAACAGCGGCCGTCCCTCCACCCCAGAACTCAGCCTCCCTCCCTTAGTGTCTGAAACTAAGAGCACTCAGGCCTGGATTGGCCCTTTGTCCCATTCAGAGCCTCTCTAATTTAAGTACCTCCAACAAATGATCCCTCTCCTTCAGGGAGAGCTCCTGAGAAGATGGGGGACAGCAGGAAGGCTCCCCAGGCAGGGTTCCCAAAGATAGCCAAGTGTCTTTGTATGTCCTGTGTGGGTCTGCTGGGGGGCGGCGGGCGGGAGGGACAAAAGCAGGACATTATCTTGTCACGTCCATCAGGATTCAGTCCCTTTGATCTGGGCAGGAGCGGGGCTCCGCGGGTGGAGGACAACTACAGGGAAGGGAGAGAGGTGGAGGCAGGGATGCTGGCTTGCCGGCTTCCCCAGCCACCCACCCCCTCCCCCATCCCACCAGCCGGTCCCTGGCCCTGCCTCCTCGCCAGAACCAGGAGGGAGCTGGCTCCGGAACAGCGGCCAAGTACAAGCAGAACCCGCTAATCCTCGCTTTCTCCTTTCTTGGATTCCAGTTCCGGGAGAGCCTCCAAGTTTCATCTCGGTGACACCGCACACCACCTCCTCTGTCCTGATCCAGTGGCGGGTAAGGCCCGGGAAGGGCAGGGTGTTTCCTGAACTTGCATCCGAGGCTGGAACCTGCCCGCTGCTGGACCCCATGTCTGAGGGTCGGTGGCAGGTCACGGGACTCCGTGTAGTTGGTGTGCCCACTGCAGGGGGGAGCACCACGGACCCCCTGAGCCGCACTGTGGGAAGGAGCCTGAGCACGGCTCCCTGGGAGGGCCAGCAGGACAGCAGAGCTGGCACGGGGCATCTGGGCTGGATGCCCCAGGCTATTGGGGAAGGACGGTCCTGCAGGCCTCCATGGTACACACAGAACTAGGTGGCATCGGACAGGGCAGCAAAACCATAGGCTGGGGAGTGATCTTTTCTACAGGAATCATCCACTAACAGACAAAATACCCACGGGGTTACGTGCATCCTCCCTATGTGCCCAGTGTTAATTCTCAGTGAACAGTCCCATCAAGGCACCTTATCCTAGACAATCAAGTAATGTTGGGGGGCCGTGAACAGTAACATGACATCAAAAGGACACTCTGCTCTCTCTTGGCCTCATTTCCAACTTGGATAATTTTGTCAACAGCAACGTGCATGGAAGACAAAAATAAGAGGGGAGAACTGCGAGAGGGGCTGCCCCGGCCCCAGGCAAGCCCAGCGAGGGTGCTCACAGGTCTGTGGAGAGGGCTCAACCAGGCCAGGTGGTAGGGTTTAGCAGCTGGTCTGGACCCAGGCCGGACAGAACCAGCACCGCAATGGGCAGGGCCGAGGGCAGCAATGAGAACGTCGTGGGAGCTCTGGGCAGCCAGGGAAGTTCCTGAGCCCAGAATGGGCGGCCTTCCGGAGGAGGGCAGTGCCTAGAGCCGGGGCCATGGGGTCGGAGCGGGGAGCAGGTGCGCTGGTCTGTGTCCACTGTGGCCACGTTGGGCTGGTGGTCCACGGAGGGGTCCATGCAGCCGAGCTGCTTCTGTCAATGAGCTCGTCCAGGAGAGTGCCGACATCACATCCAGACCAGGCGGGCGGGAGGGGACGGTTCGAGGTCAGGAGATATAGGGGCCCAGGTAATTTTGAAACTTAGAGCAAACTGTGGCTTGGACATGGCCTTAGAGAGGCAGAGGCTGTACCCAGCCAGGGGCAGAGGCTGGCAAGAGAGGAGGACTGGAAAGGACTCCCTTGGAAAGGGATGGACCAGAGGGCATGGGTGGGTAAACCACCCATGTTTGTATCAGGAAACCTAGAGGAGGCCCTCGGGGGGGCTGTCCTATAGGGACTGCCTCCAGGGGCCTTGTAGGCTGGGACAGAGCATGCCAGAGACCGCTCCAGGCTAGAACTGGTGCCCAGCAAGAAGCAAGGGGGAGAGAAGTCAGGAGCCCTCCCAGCCTCCCAGGGCTGCTAACGGAGCGGGGTGCTGGGCGGGAAGTCAGGGCAGGCAGACAGGATTGGGATGCATGTGTCGGCCATGAGGGGGTCGCAGAATTCTCGGGGTGGCTCCTAACTGCTCATGGTTCCCGCTGTCTCCCCTGGTGGGGCAGCTCGGTGGCAGCCTGGCTGTTAGCCCACTCACAGTTTGACCCCGAGCGAGGAGCACAGGTGGAAACTCCATGCGGGTCAAATGAACAAATTGCCACGGCTGCTCCGGAAGGGACAAGAGCCAGATGTACATAGCCCGGGCTCCGAGCCACACGCAGACTCTCCAGGTACTGATGGAGTGGCTGTGGGCTCCTCCTTCACTCCACTGCCGAGTGACATGTCTCGGAAGTGAGGGAACCCTTACAGGTGATCAGGAGACAGTTCCAGATGTCTTCCAGTGAACGTGGAAACTCACTGCCTGGCGTTCTGTCTTTCGCAGGCTCACTGGAGTGTGGGGAAAGCATGGGGCTGGCTCCTCCACTGCCTCTGGGTGGCCTCATCCCCTGAGCTTGTCTCGGGGCCCCACTGGCTCTAGGTCCGTGGACCCCAGTTTGCCAGTGGATGACATGACCCCAGCAGGCCTCTCTGGCTCCCGTTCTTTCTCTGTAAAAAATAGGAGGTCAATGGCGACCTCCAGGGTCTCTGAGGCAAGGCCCGTTAGGTCTCACACCCCTGACTTCCATTAGGGCCTTTGGTGGGAGGTGGGAGACGTTCAAAGTGGGAATTCAAGGTCCCAAGAGCTTCTGTTTCTCACCCTCTACTAACTTAATCGACCCAAAAGTTGGTCTTCTCTACTGTGCTAAATTTTACCAGAAATTTAGCATTTTCTTTGTACATGTGGCAATTGGCTGGCCGGTAACTAGGTAAGGTCCTTTCCTATAAAAGCAGCCTGGAGGCTTGGGATGGACCATCACCTCCACACGGTGGCTGTCATCCCCCGCCGTCCCGGCCCCCATGCGCACAGGGGGCTCCGAGCCCCATAGTTGTGGTTGGACAGCTCTGTGAATGGCGGAGAGCTGTACCAAAGGAACTTGGCATGCGTGTCCATCAGCTGTCCCCGTTCAGAGCCCAGCAGAACAAACTAATTGCAAGGAGCCCAGAGCAGGAGGTGGTCAATATGATGTATTGTAGAAATAAATGCTTGTCAACTGCCAGGCAGTTGAAGTATAATTAAAATTATGAGTAATTTACTAAATCAGCATGAACAGAACAAAGAGACTATGTTTAAATATAGATTTGCATTCCAAATGAAATGTTTCACCTGTAAACCCCTTTTTTTTCCAGTAATTTGTTTAAAAATGCGAACACCGCCTGTAATTTCAAGGCTGCTGACCCACTTAAACGTCTTCTCTGTAGAAACTTGTCAGGTTTGATTTTTCCTGGTAGGATAATCAATCCCTGCCTTTCATGGGGTCCAGCGCAATTTGAAATCTGAGGATTTGAGCGTGTGTTCTAGACAGTGGCGGCACTGTGTTCACACCGAGTGCCACTCATAATGGACACCGGCCTTTCTGAGTTGCTCACAACATTGAAGCTGGCTGCTCAGAAACTTCCAGTGGCTCATACAGTCTGTCACTCAAGTGGAGGTTCCCCTGGGGTAGCTAGAGACTTCCCTAAGTGGATTTTCAGGCCATTTTTTTTTAGCAAAACAACAACAACAACAAAAAACTAAAAACTTCTTAGCAATAGATCACATCATGCACATTGGCCCCAGCAGAGCGTGAACTCAGGGCTGTGACAGGCGCCTTCCACAGAGGAGCATGACCGCCACCCAGAAAGAGAGGAGAGGGCCACGGGGCTCTTCAAGACATGATTGGGGTTTGTTCCTTCTCTCACATGGGCTCCATCCCCTGCAGAGGACCAGCTCCTGTGTAGGGTCTGAGCACCCAGAGGGGGACAAGCCAGACTCCAGGCCTTGCAGAGCTTCTGTTCACTGGGCAGAGCCCTAGGACGTGTTACTGGGAAGACAGTGGAGGAGGAGCTGGGAGGGGGTTTCTGACTGTGTTTTGCAAGATGAACGCCCCCCCCCCCATCCATGCTCCCAGGTAAATGGCAGAGATGGGCATCTGGGCATCACCCACAGCTGGGCAAAGGCTTAGAGGTCTGACAGCCCCTGGGACTCAGCACCAGGCGTCAAGGGAAGGCACGGTGGAACCAGGTTTTCTAAGGCTTCCTGTGCTACAGCATCTCCCGGACAGAGGGCCAGTCCAGGATGAAACCAACCTGAGATGGGGTGATCTTGGATGTCAGCAAATCTAGCTCACAACCACAAGCCCTAAGTGAGTACCCGCCATGACCAAAGCTTGTCACGGGTGCTGCAGAGAAACAGCAACGAAAAGATATAGCCCTGGACTTACAACCAGTCAGTGTGGAGGCAGGAACGGCAGGCGTAGTGTGGTCAGGACCGAGGGCTGTAGTGCAGGTCTGTGGCTGAAAGGGAACCTTCTGTCCAGAGTCACAGGAGGCACTAGACCACATTGGGCGAGATTTCCACCCGCTATGTGGGTGAGCCACCAGCTCAAGCCCACACTGCAAGGAACCAGGACTCAAATCCAGAGCCTGAACATGGCCCATGGCTTCTAGAACTCTCCATGTGTCACACGGAGCTGCCCTACTGATACCTTCCAGGGGGTCCAGAGTCTTTCACGAATGACAGATGTGTTTTCTCCGAACTCTAGAAATAGAAGGTGTGGTTAAACCCAATTCCAAATCCCATGTTGGCAGGCCCCAGAGTTGCCATGGAGCCTACCCTTCCTGTGCCCATGACCTACCGCCGACTTCACGAGGCCACCCCCAAGCTATGTGGCCACCCGTGCCCCTCCCCGAGCCCAGAGAGCAGCATCAGGGTGGTCCCACTGTGTCACGGGTAGCAGCTGTGCCTGTCAGATGCGGATGTGGCCTCTTCTCCTTGTGCCTTGAAAGCACCCTCTCCTCTTTCATCAGAAGTGTCCATGAGCCCTGGATCTATGACCTCGGCCCTTCCCCTCCATCCTCCAGCCCCAGGATGTGCGTGGACACACACACCCTGCGTGGGGTGTTTGCTGCCTGTTGCCTCTTCCAGATGGAAGATATGTACCAGACAGGGTCTGGGGGAGGGGCACAGAGCTTCCATGCCCTCCACCCCGGATCTCTGCATGTTCACCGACTCAGGAGCTCTCCGAACCCCATCCTCTAGGGCTGTCCTGGATGCTTCATTGCACAGGCTTGACTGATGAAAGCACCGACCATTGGCCATTGATTGACACTCCAGCCCCTCTCCTGTCCCCAGAAGTCAGGGATGGGACTGAAAGTCCCAACCCTCTGATCACAAGGTTGGTTCTCCTGGTGACCAGCCCATATTCTCATTCACATAACAAGTGACAGCTTTGTCACTCTGGACAAAGACACGTGTATGAGGAACATATTTGTCTCATCTGAATGACAAAATAGATACTCTTCTCCTAAGTCACGGTATTGCAGCATATTGCCCGTCTCTGCTTCCAGCTCCCATGAAGCTCTCCCAGGGCTGTGCCCAAGGGGCTCTCCCAAGGACCTTCGGATCTTCTCATTGCCTCGGTATTTGTCAAATGATGGCTAGACCCTAAATTGCTTCTCCAAATATGCTCTGTCTTCATGTTCAGCAACTGATAATGTGGAACACAGGCTCCCCGTGTGAATTAGCGATTATGATACCTTGCTTGTGTTCATCCGTCCAAAGTTTGCCATTACATTTGCAAGCAGCTGTGCTGTTCGTGACCTTCAGGCTTGGAGGTAGTCCTGTTTTCTTTGGGTGTCATTGAAAAGACCCGTAGATACTTTGCTTTGGGGTTTGGCGGGGGTTGGGAGGTTTAGCTTATATTTGCAGGACTCAGGACTCTATATGCAAACATTTATGGCGGGTCGATTTCTAGACGTGTAGTTGCTGGATTAAAAGGCAAGTGCATTGAAAATCTTGATAAGTAAAACCAAATTACCCTCCGAAAAAGCAACCAGTCATTGGATGAGAGCCCTCCCTACTGCAGTGTGACCTCCTCATAACTGCAAGGTCTGAAAACCCTGTGTCCATGTAAGGTGGCCGCCACCTACCCTACCAGGGGTAGGACACCTGCGTATCTTCATGGAGGGCACAGCTGAACCCACCACCAAGGGGTTTTCCTACAACAAAGCTGTGGCCTCTACTGTGGGACAAGGACAGCGTTTACGAAGGTGCTGGTGACACCCCCATACACAGCAGCCGTGTGGGTGTCATGGGGAATTCGACGTCCATCCCTACCCCTGGACAGGCGTCACGACTCTGCTGTAGCCAGGGGTCCTGGGCATGCCCTTTGCCCATCTGTCTCGTCACAGCTTGGATGGTTCTTGTCCTTATTTGCTGAGTGTTCCAGAGGACACACGGGACCCAGAGCCCCTGGCCCCCCAGGCCAGCTCTCTGGCTACTGCAGCCCTCCCAAGATTCGTTAATCAATAGGAACTGATGGGAGGGAGAATGTGGGCTGGACACCTCCGTGCACATTGGCGCGCAACCCGGTGTGGGTTAAATTCTGAGCCTCAGGACCTGTCTCCTGCCATTCACAGTCCACAGGGTGTCCAAACATTGAATGAGCACCTACCCTACCTACCCTACCCCAGGCCCTTTGTACACCAGCTGTCATGGGAGGGACCGCGGGGGTTCTGGCTTAGGTCTGAGTCCGTGCAAGAGTGGGGGTGACCTGGCATGCGAAGCAGTCACTGGGCCCCCCTGTGAATCTGCCATGAGCCTGGGTGGCCGTCAGGGAGAGGATGGGGCCAGCTGGTGGGTGATGCAGAACCAGCCCACATGCATAACTCCTCAGAGTTCTGGCTTCACCAGGCAACGGGCAGCTTCTCCGCCCACCTGCAACCTGGGATGGAGTCCCCTGCCTTAGCCTGGGGCTCCTACAAGTATGGACTGCACATGGGGTAAGATGCTCAGTGCCCATGTCCCGGCACCAGGAAACCCGGGCTCTCAGAGCCCGATCCTCTACCTGGGGGTCCCCTGTGCCCTTCTTCATGAATGTGGCACCTGCCTTTTTGTGCATAAGCAATCAAGGACAACCTGTTTGATTTAGAGACTTCTCCAGTGCAGCTGGCTGACTCAGCTTGAAGCGGGGCTGCTAGGCCCTGCCAGGATGCTGATCGTGCTATATTTGCAGCCTCCAAGGGATGAGAGCCTGAACGGCCTTCTTCAGGGTTACCGGATCTACTACCGGGAGCTGGAGTCCGAGGCATCCTCAACCACCGTGTCCAAGACGCTCAAAACCCCTTCAGCTTTACGGGCCGAGCTTGCAGGTGAGATGCCTACCCCGTCCCAGCACAGGTGCCACACCATGCACCCAGGAGAGGGACCCTTGTGCATGTTAGCTCTATGTAAGGCATGGTGGGAAATGCCCTGGAAGGCCAGGGGAGATGCGACTCTCCTCCAGGGGGCATGGCCACTGGGGTGGACAGGTCTGTGGCAGCCCAGGTGTGCACAGAGAGGGTTGGCCCACAGAGAGCCCCTGGGCCTTGGGGGCTTACTCCCAGTGTGGAGATCAGGGGAGGATTCCCGGGGGACGAACCATTTGAGGTAGATTGTCAGGGAAAAGAGATTTCACCGAGGACACAAGGACAGGTACGACTCACAGGGGCCTGGCAAAGGTAAATGCTTAGGAGGTGGGAAGAGCCAAGGGGCTCCTGGATGGGGCCTTCCGGTGGGCCAGCCAGGAGCACCTGCCCGCGTGAGGCTGGTGGGGTATGTTAGGGAGGGAAGGCCTTCCCAGGACACCATGTCACTGCCCCATCTGGGGCCAACAGAGGCTGGTCATAGCCTACTGCTCTGATGAGGTCCATTCGGGGGGCCCCCAGCCTCATGGTGTGCACAGCCCTCTCTCCCTGAGCCAATCCACCTGCTCCCCTGGCTTGGATCCAATAGCAGTTGAGACAGCTTCTAGAACTTCGGGAAAGGGCATCTTCCTGTCTCAGAAAGGGGTCAGAGGGCATCCCCCAAACAGTGTCACAGAAGATTCTTCTTGCCGTGTGACATCCTTGTGTCACATCAGAATGTGCGACTCCGGGACTGCATCCCTGCTCTGTCCACCTCCCACCACAGCGCAGGCTGTGCCTTGGGCCTGCGGGTCATGGGGCAGCAGACGGGCAGCGGCTGCGCCTGGCTGATCCCAGAAGTGTGCTGACTGGAACCAGTGGCTCATTTGCCTCCCGTGATCTTGGTCACACTCCCACATCCCCGCCCCACAGGCATCCCTTGCCGGTGGCCAAATAATATCTTCTTGGGCTTTGTAGCAAAATCAAAACCACAAAATAAAAGAACCAGGATGCGGTTGGGTCCATTTGCCTGCGCAGGTGCTCACAGTCTGTGGCTTGCTCGTTCCCGTCCAAGCAGGGCTCTCACCTGAGCAGAGACACCCGTGCCTGCCGCAGGGTGTCTGGAAAAGTTGCCGCCCTGGGAGAAACCCATTTCCTGGCTCCTTGAGTGGTGTTTGCACTGTCATGCCGGAGACTCATCTGATCCCTGTCGTGGGCCAGGTGCCCTGGCTATCTCAGGAAGCCAGGCGGGGACCCCCAGGTTGCTAATGGGGAGTGTGGAGGCGGCAGTGTGGACGGGCAGCGGCTTCCGAGCGCAGTACCAGCCCGCCCACCGTGTCTGCAGACATCATTTGCAGTAACTGTTCCCTGCCGGCTAACTGCCTTTCTGCTTTGCTTACCCCTAATAGCCCAAAGCAGCTTCAAGACCGTGAACAGCAGCTCCACATTAACGACGTATGAATTAACACGTAAGTGCACGCCGCCTTCAGCAGGAGGCGCCGTGACCGCGGGGCAGGCCGGGGCCAGTGCCAATTGGCCTCTCAGTGGACCAAGTGAGAAGCAGCCAGAATTGATGGCTCTAGTTTCTGGAATTCCCCCTCTCCAGCGCTGCATCTCAACACACCAAAACCATCGGGGAGACGGGAAAGGACACTTCCAGAAGCAGAAACTGGGAAGGCATTTGACAGCTGGTCTTCGAGTCTGGGGGAGTCAGAGGGAGCCAGAGCTCCTTTCTGCTTCCCTTTGACCTTTTCCTTTTACTCTTTATTTAATTGCAGTAAAATATGTGCAAAATGTACCATCGTAACCATTTCTGAACGTGCAGTTCGGTAGCATTAAGCATGTTCACACTGCTGTGCAGCTATCCCCGCCCGCCTCCAGGGCCTATCTCTCTCCCTGGACCGAGCCTCCGTCCCCATGAAACACCCACCCCTCCCCGCCTGGCCCCCGGCGCCCACCCTGTCCTTTCTGTCTCTGTGTCGGAGTCCAGGACTGCAGCAGTGCTTGCCCTGCTGTCTGGCTTCTTCCCCTTCCAGCTTCAGCCCTGCTGAGGCACAGTTGGGACGCCCCATGTCTTCAAGACTGAGTAGTGCCCCCCTGCGTGCACTCACCAGGTTTGGCTGCCTGTCCATCACCCCTTCCCTCTGGCTGCCACCATGCTCGCTCTCACGCTCCTGGCCCTCACAGGGTTGCATGGTCCGGAGGCAGGGCGAAGGGGCCCCACAGTGTGACTCCCCCCTGTGCCGGGAGCTTCCCTGGACTGGCACGTGGATAAACGAGGGGGGAGTAGAAGGGGCCAGCCCTTCCCGAGGCCCTAAAGTGTGTGAGCACCACCCCCCGCATCGCAGGCAGCGCCTGGGCAGCTGGCCCCGCCCTCATGGCCGGGGTGGGAGTCGGGGCGGGGAGACTCAGGCATGCCATTTTCTCCTCCACTCTGCTCCCCTAAAAACGACTCTACGGTCTGCGGTCTGCCCCGCATCCCTACCCAGCCACCACCCCTCCACCCAGTGCCTCGTCTCCCATGACACCGGGCTGAGGAGCAGCTTAGGGAGTTTGGTGCAGCCCAGGTCCCAGAGACAAGGCTTCCCAGGCTGGGCCTCCAGGCTTTGCAGTCCAGGTCCAGGTTATGAAGGAGAGGGGCCCCGACTGTGACCGTGCCCATGTCCACCCTGGCTTGTCTCCACTGATGCTGAGGATACACATGGTCCCCAGGCATGGGGGTGGGGCAAACAGGCCAGGACAGTGCATGAGCCACAGAAGGCAGCACAGCTGCAGCCAGGCTGAGAGCAGGAAAGGGTGGGTCCCTGCATGGCCCTGAAGCCGGCAGGGGCAGGAACCTTGGTGTTCTGATTCACTGAACCTCTGCGGACCCCAAGAGGGGAGATCTGAAGCCTGAGCTAAGTCACCATTCACCCAGGGGTCAGACCCGCACATAGGGCCTCAGGAAATCCCAGCAACGATGAAGCGGTATTAACTAACAGGAGAACCTTCCAGAGTGTTCTCATTGACAGGTCAGCTACTTCCGCCCTCACTCAGCTCGGCCTGTGGAACACTATATATGTGGTTTCACGTGTCCTTGTCTTCCCGGGACGTGGTGGTTAAAAACTCAGAGGGCTTTGTGTTGCCAGTGCATTTCCTCCTTAAACACCAGGGTCTTCCTTGTCCGTTCTTATGGAGAGATTCTGGGCCACAGGCTGGCCTATATGACATCCTGCCGCCTCTACTCTTCCCTCTGGAAGGAGGCCTGCAGCCGCACACAGTAGCTGCTCATCTGGGCCAGGGAAGGAGAAGAAGGCCACTCCACAGACCCTCGGGGGATGCCCCCACTCTGCCCCGTGGCCCTGTGGTGTTGCTCCAAGGCAGAGAGGTGGTCCCAGGCCAACTGACCCGTCTCCTTCCTCCTGTAGGTCTGAAGAGGTACCGGCGCTATGAGGTCATCCTGACGGCCTACAACATCATCGGCGAGAGCCCAGCCAGCGCGCCTGTGGAGGTGTTCGTCGGCGAGGCTGGTAAGCTCGGGGCACCACTGCCCTCCGGGAAGCATGGCATGGCGCCCTCAGGGGCCGGCAGCGTGCCCACGTTGAGGAGCCTGGTACCACCTGTGCCTTCGGGAGGTTCCAGGTTCTCTCCTGGGAAAGACGGATCTGCTGAGGGCTGGGCTGACCTGGTGGCTGGAGAGACCCATGCAGTCTTGTTTTCAGACTCAGGGATTGATTTTATCTCCAGAGCCCTCCTTGTGCTTCCCAGCATGTGCTCCGTGGGGAGGCTGCTGCCTCTATGGGAATCCGGGTGCGTGGGGACCTTGGCCTCTGCCGGGACGTTTGTGCTCAGAGTCCCACAGTTCCTGGTGGGGCCCCAGTGTCGGCTTGGCACACATCGGCCTGACCCCCCAGTAACCGCCTGGTCTCCTGTGTGGGAAAATCACATGGATCATTGTTTGTATCCCTGTTAGATAAGACGTGGCCCCTGAGTTTGTTTCCAGGGCTGTCCCTTGTGTGGAGGCTTCAGAGAGACGTCATGTCATGTTGAGAGCAGACTGGGCTCCCATCTGACCCAAGGGCGCTGCCCACTCTCCCCTGCTCTGCCGGGGCTCCTGTTCAGGTCAGCTGGGGCAGTGAAAGCATCGTGCTTCAGGCCAGGAACCACGGGAATTCCCTCTGAGATCAGAGCCCCAGGCTTGCAGGAGACGGCGGTTGGGCCGCTGGGCCAGCCCGCAGAAACCTGTCAGGTGACCTTTCGACATTTGGAGAGGTTACTGTTAGAAACCAAATGACAGCAGTGGGGGACTAACTGAGCAGGACTTTTCTGGAACGGTCAAGCAACATTTGCACCAAGTGATGCCTGGAACGTGGGCTGTGCTGGTGGCTCTGTACGTCTGCCCCGAGGGGTTAAATGGGGTGGCGAGGTGGGGGCTGGGCAGCCAGTGTTCTGGGCAGATGCGCCTCCCCTCAGAGGAGCCTCCCTCCCCAGGCTGAGGCCAGGCAGGAGCACAGGCAGGGAGGGGACAGGACGTGGCCAGTGCCATCTAGAAGGCAGGCACTCCAGTCCTCTCTGGCACCTGGGCCCACGCTGGTCAGCACAGGGGTCTGCTGGCCAGCTGGAGCCGCAGCGCCTGGCAGCCCATTGGCGGCCTGCATCAGGGGCCCGGGGCACTGGAGGCAGAGCCTGAGTCACAGGGGCCCAGGCAGACGCTCCTAGAAGACTAGAGCCAGGGAGGGAGGCAGGCAGGCATGGGGGATCGTGTGCACCGGCCAGGTCGCCATGGGCCTGAAGTCTGGCTCTGTGCTCCATGCCACGCTCCACTCCATCCTCTGCTCTGTGCTCTCCTCCGTGCTCCATGCCATCCTCCACTCTGTGCTCTCCTCTGTGCTCTGAGCCATGCCCTGTGCCATGCTCCATGCCGTGCTCCACGCTCTCCTCTACGCTCCGCTCCGTGCTCTGCTCCGTGCTCCGTGCCAAGCTGGCGGGTTAGCAAGCAACAGGGCAAACCGTGAGCAGTGTGAAGTCAGCCGTCCCCCTGACCCTGAAGCAGAGGGTGCGGCATGGAGCTCACAACCTGTGCACGGCTGTGGGAGCGCCGTCACCCCTGCAGGGACAGAGCCCCACTTCCTGGAGAGAAGCCCCTGCCATCCAGCTGTCCCTCCTCCCCTGTCCCGCTTCCCAGCCAGCCAGTGGCCTGGAGGTTCCCGTCTAGGAATCTGTGCAGAATGTCTCATAGCACCTGTGCCCACGAGTGGGCTGCTTTCACCCGATGCAGCAGCACCTTGTCTCATGGCTGGGGAACGTTTTTGCCATGTGCACACTCAGGTTTTGTCTCTCTCCATCCACAGGGGGACACCTGGCTGGTCCCCGCCATCCGGGTGCTGTGAGGACAGCCTCTATGGTATTATCCAGCAGTGCCGAGCTAATGCCATGGCAGGCAGGCAGGGGGAGCCACGGAGGTGGTGGGGTGGGGGCTCCTCCTGCTCCCTGGGGCCTCTCACCTCCCTCCGCTCTCCTGGAGGGGCCCCCACTCCAGCCCTTCCCTAGGGCACCTGTCCTCCCAGCACCCGTCGTCCCAACACCCACCTGCTCCCTGTCCTGTCTCCCCATATCTTGGGTGTCAGCCTCCTGGACCCCATTGACCCCAGATGGAAAACGGGGGGCCCTACCTGGTGAGCCCGGGCTCCAGGGCTGTCTGACCCCACACGCATGCTCTGATGAGCCAGCTGTGCTGCTGAGGGCACTCACCGGAGGTGCTGAGAAGTGCTCTTCAAGCCTCCTGAGTGGTTGTGGGCTCCGTGCACAAAGCACCGCTCAGCCTCCTTGCCCTGCCTCTTCCCCCGACCCCCACCCAGGACCTGACTCCAGGGACTGCTTCTCCAGAAAGCTCTCTCTGACCCCCCCCCACCCCGCCCCGCCACAGGTCCAGCTTTCCCCTTTTGTGCCCTGAGTCTCCGGTGCAGTGTGGACACCTCTACCTTCATTATCAGATGGGACGGTCCTGTCTTCTTTGCCCGTGGGACCAGGACAACTCCTCTCACAGTGCTCCCCATCCTGAGCTTAGGACCAAAGGGGACCTGAATGCCTTTGCTGCCTTGCAAATAGAGGTCCCCAGACTCCCATGAGGACGAGGCAGGAGAGCAGCTGTGGGAATCCTGGGAACTGGGAAGCACCCAGATGGGCTGAGATAAAGTGGGTGGGCTTCATGTCTCAGAGCAGGTGGGAGTAAGTGGGGGGATGGGGCTAATCAGAGATGTCTTCTCCTGAAGCAAGGAGACACGTGACAGTGGTATCTGCCCTGTGACTTCTGTGACCCCAGTACCCTTGCTCACACAGGCACACATATTGTACCATCGACGCCTCCTACAGCACCTGGGCAGGGAAGGGAGTCAGCTGGCCAGGGTGCAGGAGCACACTCTGGGGAGGCAGGCAGGCGGTGGGGGCAGGGACAAGAGAGGCTGCTGAGTGCTATTGGGTACGCTTTGTGCAAGGGGGTTCTCGTAAGCACCACACAGGAAGAACGCATGTGCATGTCCCTGCAGTTATGCTCCCTCCTGCACAAACTTGGATGGGGGCAGGGAGGGAGGGTGCAGGATACGGAAGGAAATTGTATGCTCACTCCTTCCACCATAATGCGGGTGACAGCCTTCCAGAGAGACCAGCCGAGGACACGGAGCACAGAGGCAGAGCGGCCTGGCGGACACCAGGAGAGGGTGTGCTGTGCACCCCAGGGGAGAAAGGGCGAGACCTGCCTGCCCATGTCAGATGCAAATAGGAACTGACCAGGACTCTAGGCCTTGAGATGCAGGAGTCAGGGAGAACCAGGGCCAAGGCCCTGGCAGATGAAATCAGGGAGTCTTTGGTGTTTGGATAGAAAAAACAGGGAAGCAGTCTTCTCAGCGTGCATTGGCTGCTCTGGAATAAAGTCCACCCATTTGTAGGCAGCTCTGCCAGTTACTGGCTGTGTGACCATGGGCAAGTCACTTGAACCCTCTGGGCCCCAGACTTGAGGAATCACGGTGTAGAGAGGAGCACTGTGAGCTAGGACTAAGGACACTCGGAGCCTCATGCCGACTCTGTCCCTAACTCGTCTGTCCTTCCTACAGGATGAATGTGGAGAACATGACCACACGGGGTGGGTCAGTATTTGTGAATGAATGGTTGAGACTCTGGGTGAGTTACTTAACTCCCTTGGCCTCATCTGCAGAGCAACGTGTTTAGAATAGGGGGTCTCTGGGTCTAGCCCAAACGTACAGGATTTTAGTCTGTTTCACCTCATGAAGACAAGGTAATTTTTAGGAAATTTCTCATTGAGATTGATTTCTGAGTCTAGACATCACAAATGGGTAAAAATAATACATCAATATGGACTCCAGTTTGCCAGAAATAAAAGCCCAGCCCAAACAGGCTTAGGCTGAAAGAATCATATATTAACCCATGTAACAGAAAAGTTGAAGGTCCGGCTTCAGGCATGGCTGGATCCAGCACCCTAACAGGCTGGTTTGATGGCCCATCTTGGCTCCACTGTCCTGTCAGTTTACTCCTATCTTGGGGAGGCTCCCTGTTACAGTGGCCCTGCTGTGGCAGCAAGAAGGCAGCTTCCCTCGGTGATGTCTGCAGAGGAAACCCACTCGGTCCCAAGAGCCAGCCTTTAGTGATATGCCCATCTGCAGACCAGATGCAGTGGCCAGAGGCCTGAGGTCCCCAAAGCCAGGTGATGATGTCATCTCTACCTGGGTCCCTGGGCCAGATAGGAGGAAGGATCCCCAGGGGAATGGGTGCTCCCTGCCACAGTCCACATGCAGGGATGGCAGAGTGCCAGTGGCCAGAGCTGCTTCAGAGAGGGGTGAGAGACCGTGTGTGGGGTGCCATGGTACATAACTGCTGTGCCAGTTTTCCCCACTGAGATCTCCAAGCCCATCTCTGTGTTCTCGGGGTCCCGGGTACTACAGGGCTAGAAAAAGGAGCCCACATCCTGACCTTCAAGACATATGCTACTCAAGGATGGGCCCCCACTTTCTGGCGAAGGCTGCCCTCTTACCCTGGGACAATGACATCAGCTACTGCCTGTGTTTCCAGGCCTCCCAGGCCACTCTCCCCTGGAACAGACACTGGCTGTGTCGTCTAGAGTCCCTGCTCTTGCTCCCGGTCCTGGGAGGACCTGCAGGCTTCCTCCAGCCCCGCTTTGGGGCCATGCCTCCAGGAAGTAGCCGTCTCCTCCCTCTCTCCAGGCAGAGCTGGGGTTCCCTCCTCTCTTACGGAACACATTGCACACACAGCTTTCTGCACTCGTGGTCTGTGGTCTGTCTGTGCTCAGTGCTCCACAGAGCAGAGAGCCCCTGCTATCCACCCCACCGTCCTTAGGACTCCATGGTTTGCCTGCAATGCTGTGGGGAAGGAGTGGGGGGGAGGGACAAGACCAGATTAGACAGGAAGGAGGGAAGCCGGCAGCCCTGCTCGGAAGCATGGACACCGGAGACAAATGACAGCAGGCAGTGCCATGTGGGGGTGGGGATCCCCAGGGCCA